TGCAAATGTGGTTGTTTTTACGAGCTTTTATTAAGTTTCACGCCTGCGTAATAAAATATTGCAATCGATTTTAATCAACTTCTAGAGACTTGCAACTTCAAACTTGGTGCAGAACCTGATGACTATGCAACATGAAAGACGCGGTTGTCGAGATGTTTGAAAAAGCCGTATTTAAGAGCCGATATGGTTCATATATTCAATGTACAATATACTATTTACACGAAAATGAAAAAAAAAACTCCCCGCAAAATTAATAACTGAAAAGCTTGGCTTTAAAATTTGTTGGTTTATAGTTAAATCTGTTTTATAATTTGTATTACATTTTGTAGCTTGATATTTTTGTTATATTCGGAAATTCAGCCTTAAGCTCAAAAAAGTTATTTAAAATTATTTGTTATTGGCCCACATAATAGCACGATGAAGTAATAATTTTTTTTTTTTTTTAATTTTAAAATTTTCATTCTTGCGTTTTAAGGAATATTAACTTATAATTAAGATACATAATTACATATTTTGTTTTTATTGAATACTTCCAAAATATTTAGTTTGTTTATTTTTTTATTGTTTTGTTTGTAAAAAAAAATCTAATTTAAAAAATTAAATTAAATTTGGCAGAAAAAATTAAATTCTTAATACCGAGAAAAGCATCGTTAGTTTTAATTACATTTTTTTTCGTGATATTGCTTAAAAAATGTAAATTTTTTGATCTCATAAAAAATCAAAGAGTTATTTCTAAAAAGATTGTGGAAGCTTTCAGAAGCATTTTGCTTTGCTAAACTTTTCAGATTTGCCTCGTAACAAATAATTATTATTAGGTATATAGACATGAGTCAAAAAAAAAATTATAAAGGCAATTTACAAAAAAAACTCCGAAATGATAAGACTTTTCAACACAGAAATATTTTTTAACTCAAACAGATCATCATTTAAACCGCATTTCTGCTAATTTTAAACTTATGATTCTTAAGAAGTTAATGCGTGAATTGGTAAATTCTAAATATATAAACGGTGACAGGTAATAAGGTTAATGGAAATAAGGTCAATTGACTTTATTTCCCACCCTGGTGCGAAATAAAGTCAATTGATATTATTAGCTTTTCAAAAGCGAAATAAAGTCAACAAAAATTTGGAAATAACGTCATTGATGCTATTTCCTCATTCAAATGGAAATAGCGTCAACAATGCTTAAAGTATGTCGATTCATAGAAAAAAATCTTGTTCTTACAATAAACATTGCCCCGTAAGTGTTGTTTTTTAATAGATGAAAAAGGTTATTGCCAAATACTCAGTGTTGTGATATTAATCCACACACAATCATGAACTACCACCAATTGATTTTATTAAAAAAATTTATATTACGAATATGTAAAAACACGATGCGAAAAACTAAACACCTGCGCACAGCTGGAATACGAGAAATATTTGAAGAAAGAGTGTAGAAATGATCCATAACTTGCAAAACATTCTTCGTTTCCACAAAAATAAAGCGAACACTATTAAATTGATGAAACAGTCCTTGTCCAAAAACCCCGGAGGAACACTGAAAGAATTCTCTGTTTTAAATTAGCATATTTTGAACGAATTCGGAATGTCTAGGGTGGAAAAGAAACCAACCTTTCTATAAGGAAACAATTATAGAAAAAGAATTTTCTTACACTGTATTCATGTCTCCGCCAGCAATTTGTGGAACCGAGATCATATAAGTTAATTGATTGGTTTTCCCACACTTTTGAAACACAAATTATATGCTTTTTTACTGCAGACAAGTTGTTGCCCCAAAATACAGCATAAATCTTCCAATCAGGGCTGCCAACTATCCTTAGTTATGAGGTACCATATTGAGCATAAAAAAGTGCCAAAATGTGCCAAAGAGAGAATTAATAAATTATGCCAAATTGAAAAATTAAGTGCCATTTGAAGTAAAATAGGAACAAATGGCACGGTTTGAGCCAAGTTGGCATCCCTGCTTCCAATAACTTACAAATATAAAAAGGTGAAATATCGAGGGCTGGAATTCATTAATTCTGCAATTTGCACAAAAACTAATTTGTGATTTTAGAAACCATGTGGAACTTATTACCTGTCGTTATATAAGGTAACATTAATATCACTGATGACAGTTAAAGCTTGGGTGGATTTTTATATTAGAATCTCATCTTTGTGAAAAATGTGCAGATAGAGGGTATTATTGAATATAAGCCCTCGATGTTTAAAATATATAAAAATTTTATTTCAACGTACACAAAAAGTAAATCCACCTGCGTTACAGCACGGCGGGAAACGGGGAAGGGGGGGCCGGGGGGCCGCGGCGTAGCGTGACGCGGTGTGGCGCGCTAACGCGGGCCGCCGCGAAGCTAAGCAAATTTAATGTTTGAAAGAGAAATAATGTTAGTTGATTTTATTTCGTTTTTAAAAAGGTAATAATGTCAATTGACTTTATTTCGCACCAGGGTGGGAAATAAAGTCAATTGACCTTATTTCCGTTGATCTTATTACCTGTCACCATATAAACTTCAAAATGTACGACAAGCGTTTGCATTTCCTTTTACAGGATTTCAATAGCAACTTAAAAGAGACAGTTTTACTTCAACATGCATATGTATGACGAATTACACATCTATAATTTACTCTCATCCATCGACTTATTTATTCAGCTTGAGCATCACCAGGCGAGGCTGTAAAACGAGTTAATATCACGCAAAGGTTTAAAAGCAAGTCTTTCAGTAATATCGCTCTATTCAAGCATTCCCACTAGATTCCTTGTGTAATATCTTCTCGTGGTTAGTTATTTTCTACAATAGATCAACGTATAATTGTGTACATATATGGTAGATATGTACGTACTAGGTGTCCGTATATGAAATCTTAAATACCACCAGCTGTGTCTATGAAATATCTCTATGAATTATTAGGGTGTATGCTTGCAGATCCATATAAAAATATTTCAATATTTTATCCCATTTGTTCTCTCAAACTAATAAGAAATATTCAAACATCTCCTCAGTAAATAAAAACTTAAAATAATTCTTTTTCTTTTTTTAATTTCATTTTCTTTTGAATTTTAGATTTTATTGATTAAAATGGAAATTACACATTTTTTAATTGAACTTAATTATTAGAAACGTATTTTATTTATTTTTTCCATTTTAAATTTAATTTGTTTCTCTGTTGTTAATTTCATTTTGCTTAGATTTAACATTTTTAAATAGAAAAAATATATGCATATATTTTATTTCATTTAATTTTTAGGATTTTTTCATTTTTTTGTCTTTTCTAATTAAATTTTCTTTATTTTTTTTCTTATTAGTTTTTTCTTTTTTTATTAAATTTTTTTTTATTAATTGTGTTTTCATTATTTTCAAAAGAATTCTTTTATATATTTTACAAACTTTTTTTTTTGCATTATTTTTTTTTAGTTTTCTTTTTATAATTTTTTATTGTTTTGAAAGGAGAAATATGTATACATATTTTATAAACCTGTTTAAGATTTAAAAAACTTATTGCTAAAAGGCCAATAGCATAGCACTAAGACCTCCTCGTTAGCAGATCTTTCATCTGGTCTTTCGAAAGACAGTACAGAACTTTCACTATAGTTGCCAGAATTGACAATTGTCTTACTAACTGTGGTGAGTTGAAAGACAGTTGCCAGAATCGCCCTGTAAACCTAATTGAAAGCTGCTCAAAGTAATACTAGAACAAAAGACTTAAGACACGAACCTGCCTTCAGCAATAACATTTAAGAACTAAAATTACACTGAAGATGGCCCATCGTCGAAACTGGTTTGTCCTCAAACCACATTTGACATGAGATGACGGAAAACTCGTTCCAAAATACATCGTATAAAATCCCTGTCGAAAACAACAACAACCAAAAAGAAAACTTTTAAAAACTTTGCATCAAAAATCGAAAGATCATAGGAAGAAAACGTTTCTGGGTTATATAATAAACAAACATAGGGTCCCTCGAGCAATTTGTGGCCGACGAAGTCAGAAATAAGCTACAACTTTAAAGGTGACATTCATTATGATTCTAATAATTTTTAGTGTTTTTTTAACTAAAATTGTTTTGAAGATTTCATTTAATTTGGGCACACTATTTGTTTTCATTTGAATTTGCATTCATTTTTATAGCTTAACAAAAATTATTCATTATCACAATTTGCAGTTAAGTAAATTAATAAAGCAAATATTATAAATAATATGTATGTATATGTAAAATAATGCATGTAAAAGCTAAAAACCAATTTTAAATAAAATACAAATTATTTAAAAACAATGATTAATATTCAAAAATTTAAATATCAAAAAGTTAAACATTAAATATATGAACAACTAATTAATTTCGTAAAAATTGTATTTTAAAGTTAAACTTTAAATTAAATTAAATTTATTGCTGATCATATTTACCAAATAAATAGGCAAATGTATTAGAAACTGCAAAGGTGTGAATAAACAATGCATTAAAATAGCAATGAAGTAAATATAGAAGAAAAAAGTGTAGCAAAAAGTAAACAACAGAACTTATTATATACAACTGAATATATATGTATGTATATGAAGCGCTGATTTACTATTACGAAATTATATTATAATGATAATTATTATAAATTATACTCAATTTGTTTTACTTAATATTTAATTAAAAAATAATAACCACAACAATGCAAGCAAATAATAACAACAACAACAACAGAAAAATTATTATTATTATTAATAATATTGTCCTTGGTATATAAATTCAGCAGAAAAACACACACAAATATGAAGACAAAAGCAAATACCGCAAACCACAAATAAGAAAAAATTCAAGAGAAAGAAGATTAAAATAAGAATGCAAAAATATTATTCTTAACAATTAAAAACAAAAGAAAATTAATAAATTGTTTTTAAAAAATAATTTTTTTTTTTTTGCTTTTTTAATTGAGCTTATGTAGCAATAGGTACATAGCAAAAATCTTAGGAATGCACACAGCGAATTCTCACAGTGTATGATGCTTAACTCAACCAAGCACATGTTTTGATATTTAAACAAATCGTGCGCTTGAACCAGTTTCTCTGCCTGATTAGCATTACAGGCTTTTCAGCTGTGTCAGAGCAAAGTAATTTGTTTATCGCATTCCGTGTGTTTCGCTGCCGCCATAGCAGCCGCTATTTAGTAGTTTACCATAAACGCCACCGGTGATAACAACACATTTTCGCGCGAAAGTACAAATAAGCTAAACATATTTCAGTTAGTATCTCTCTACAGAAAACCCGCGTCCATAAAAAATGCCACAAAATCTTACGCGCGATTGCCTGAGCGCCCACGACCAGCAAGTGCTTGATTCCATTTTCAATCCACTGGCTATGACATCGAGCGTGGTGCAGGCAATAGAACCAGAGGCGAATGCTGAGCTGCTGGATATCGAAGAGAATAGCGCCGAAGTGCAGCAGTCGAAGGCGCTCGAAATAAGTGCTATCAAGTTGGCAGAGGACGGCCAGCTTTCGAAGGCGTTGCCGGCATTTGAGCAGGCGCTGAATGTGGCACCAACACGTGCCTCTATTTATAATAATCGCGCGCAGGCTCTACGACTTGCCGGTCGAGATGAGGGTGAGTGTTTAGCGTTTAGCAGTTAAAGGGCAAGATGCACACAGTCTTCGGAGAAGCCACGTGTTACGCGAAAAAGGCTTATTTAAAAACTCTGTTAAATTACCTCGGAATAGAGCTATTCTTATTTACAAATTTTCAACAATTTCAAATCTCAAAATCAAAACAGCCCAGCTATCAACTGTCAAAATTTTAAATTGACACACAAGTCGTGATCAGCATGTCTAAAGACCCATTCGGTGGAATTTTTAAAAAGGTTGTCTTATTTTTGGAAAAATTTACAGTACATATGACAGCTGTCAACTGTCAAAGTTTTTATTTGACACATAATTCGTGATCAGCATATCTAAAAACCTAATCAGTGGTGTTTTTAAAAATATTGTTGTATTTAACAAAATAATCTACAGTTCATTTGACAGCTGTCAACTTTCACAGCTTTAATGTGACATGAAATTCCTGACAAGCTTGCCTAAAACCTAATCAGTGGTATTTTCAAAAATATTTTCTCATTTTTAGAAAAATTGGCAGTTGATTTGACAGTAGTCAACTGTCAAACTAAAAATTGTATGGCATATTTGGATTAAGCATACCAAAATTATTAGGATACTGCATTTTTATTATAATCGTTAACAGCCCTTCTAATTTTTCGGGTAAAACATAGCTTCTCCAACCATTGTGCGGCCGTTTTAACAGTTCGAGGTTTGAGGGGCACTGTATTTTATCCACTTTCCAACTGTTCTGTAGCTATGCTACAAACCAGACCGAAATAAGTTTTTATACACGTTAAGGCGACATCTAGCGTTGACTCACGTAAACTTTCTGTGTAGAATAAGGCTATTTGCAGACTTGTCCTGGAATTTTGAGATGAGTACATGCACTTCGATGGAGGTATGCACACTTGTCGCTATCGGCTAGTTACCTCAAACTCGTAGAATATTACGACACTGTCGTCAGCTAATCGTTGTGCGCACGCGTTGTTTGTTCACGTTGTATGCTGAAAAATTAGTGAAAAAGTTCGTATTTGCATTAAAATGATGTAAAAATACTCCCTTATTCCGTAAATTCTGTGAAAATTATTAATAAGTGAATAATTGCAATAAAATTAAATAAAAATGAGAGTTTTAATTATCAAAAATTACGAAATTGTACAAAGTAAAAACTCCGTTTAGCTTCGAAGTTCGAAATAGGACCTTTGGTAAAAAATTATATTTCATTATTGCATATAAATAACTAAAAACCTTAAAATATAGACGTAGTCTTCCTTTTGCTCTTATTTAAATGGTATATAACTTTTTTTGTGCAAACTAATACTACAGGTGTTATAAGGGGTCAAAGTTCAGGTCACATTTAAATAAAAAATACCTTTTATTTAAAAAAAAAAATATTTTAAACGAAAAAATTACCAACCGACCATTGTAAAGAGGATTAAATCCCCTTTCTTCTGATATGCATATTTGCATACTTCGTATATACAAATTTGAGGATAAACACATTTAGAGGAAAACATACTTTTTTATAATAAAAATATTTTACAATGTTAAAATATTAAGTCTTTAATTTTTCGAAGATCTGACTTTTAACCCGTTATAGCACCTGTAATATAAGTTTTCACAGAAAAAGTTATATACCATATACATTTTTACATGCAATCGAACTTCGAAGGCCCATATCCCGATTTCGGAGGCTAACTTCGAAAAACGGAGAACTTACTTTTTATACTTATGACTCAACCTCTTAAAAAAATTTGGTTTAGTCCAATACCCAGCCGAACTGGATATTTGGTATTTCATATTCGGTATCAGAAACTCATATTTGATAATTGGTGTTTGGTATTTGGTATTTAATTAACATGTGGATAATTGGTAACCAGTAGTTGGTATTTGTTATTTGGTACTCGTTTTTTATTTGGTAAATATTTGATAACTGGTAATTGGTAACCAGTAGTTGGTACTTGGTATTTGGTACTTCCCCTTTGGTACCTTTTCTTAGTATTTTATTGTTGGTGTTTAATAATCGGTACTTGGTATTTGTAACTTAATATTTCATCGAGTATTATTTACAATAATCTTTTAATAATTCCCTTTTTTTGTTTTTGGTTTTCCTACCAGACGCTCTAGCGGATCTCAACAAAGCAATTGAACTATGCATCAAGACACCGCGCACAAAATGCACTGCTCTGTGTCAGCGCGGTGTCCTTTACCGCAAGCAGAGCAATTTAGATGCGGCGCGCAAAGATTTCGAAGTGGCAGCACAGTTGGGCAGCAGTTTTGCCAAAACACAGGTACTCATCTACATATGTACATTAGACTGCATCACTCCCCGTACAAAAATAAAAATAAAAAATCGGTAATGTTTTTCCATTGGAATTATAAAACCAAAAAGTTAAAAAACAGCATCAAAAATTTCATTATTACGATCCCGTTCAAAATTGGGTTTTTTTTAATAATATTTTTATGTGGATAAATTTTTTAAGCTTAAACCGGTTTTTCATTTGAGGGGACTTTTTTCAAAAAGTTCTTTAAGAAACTATTTTTATTCATAAAAAACTCCAATTTTTGGAGGTATTTTCAAATCAGTCCAGCTCGCTAAAATCTTAATATTTTTCCAAAATATTTTGTTGGGCGTCTTAAGATATAATAAATTTTATAATCCCGGCGGAAAAACAGCAACGTTTTTTTTGGAGATGCAGTCTAATGTATCTACATATGTACATACATGCATATCTCATATAACTACAGTAGTACATAAATACATACAGATAATAAGATTCGCTTCACTCTTTCTAAAAATCCATTCCAGCTGGTGGAGATCAATCCGTTTGCGGCACTTTGCAATCAAATGTTACGCCAGGCATTCGATCAATTGAAGTAGAATTTATTGCCATACGGAATTTAGAATAAAAATGCACACACTCACCGCCTGAGAGTGGATGAAGAGGAGCGAAATGAAGACATTAACTATTTTAATTACGTAATACGAGTGTTTAAATAGAAGCGAATCAAAAGTCCTGCCTATGCAACAAAAAATCTTTTAAAAATCTTAACCTTCTTGAATGCGACAATAAAAAATAAAAATAAAACAAAGTAAGAAATGTTGAAAAAGTCAAAAATGTCGTTGCTGTTACTAAAATAAGTTGCGGCAAATTGCGCTTACCTCGACCGTTTCTCCGCTGCCCTTACTACGGAACTCGGCCGCTGCTTTAAATCAGCTCCTTGGCTGACTAACTGACCGAGCGAACTGGCTGCCTAGTATTTTCTTTTTTTTTTCAGCTTACTGCTGCAGATTGTGGCAAGGTGCGTTTTAACAATTCCAACAACAACAACAATGGAAAAAATCAGCACCGCAGCAACCGTGCCATCGACACTCAACAAGTCTCGACTATCGGCAGCCGGCTGCCAACGCGTCCCAGCAATTGGCACGTGGTATGCGCGCGAGCTGTCGAGCTGCCGCAGAGCTCCCCGATTGCAACTAGTCGCATGTAACGCTTGGCTATTATGGCAGCTGTTGTTGTTGTTGCTGTTGTTGTGCTTAAGTTGTTGCTGCCACAGTGATTATGATTAAAAGGCATTTACGAGCAGCGCGTTGCCAGCCACGCCACCGAATGGCTGAAAACTGAACGCCGTGTGGCAAATATATTGTGCATATGTATGTATGTCTGTTTGTACGTATATGTATGTATATGGAGGCCTAGCTCATCGCATAAAAACAACTGTTACGGTTTTGCGGCTGCAACAACAAGAACAACAATAAAACATGCCTTAACAGTTATTAAATGCAACACATGCCACCACAACTGCAACAACAACAAAAGAAACAATCACTACGTATGTATGTATGTAAATGCATAAGTGGCAAAGTAAAAAAACTTTAATTCCCAAAACCAGAGTACAGAATTGGTGGTAAGGACAGAAAATATTTCCTGACATACAGACAAAATCATACATATGTATGTACATACATCCAAATATATAAATGCACAATAAGGTGCATAGTGGGCCGTAAGAATAATAGCCCGAACACAATGAAAACGACGAGCTACAAACCACAGCTGTCAAATTATTTTAACACGTACTCTTATGTAGATAATTATTTTGGCGACGACCGGGCTACGCGACGGCTGTGGTTGTGGCCAGATTAGATCTATTTCTATTTTTCTGGCGACAGATAAGGTTCTTCCTCTTCTTTTATGTCAAACTCATACAAATTCATGATGTCGCTGCCGCGTTCAAAGAAATCATGTCGCCATCGACAAAGCGCTTAGATAATAAAGATGACAAATTGGAAGCTGTGGTCGGTAGCTCGTCGTTTTCAATGTGTTCAGAACTTAACGCATAGCTCGATTTTGGAGGCTAACTTCAAAAAACGGAGAAATTACTTTTTTAATTAGGACTCAATCTCTTAAAAAAAACAATTGTTTGGTCCAATACCCAGCCGAGTGCTGTACAGTGTAACTTTTAGGAAAACATAAAGAAAATACTGATCGTTTTTTTTTCTTGCTTCTTTCTGTTTCATGAGTTTTGGGTAATCTTTACTTGGCCCCAGATCCCTATATTAAAAATAAAGCAGTGCAATTAACTGCGTTGCGCGTGAGCAGAGATAATTAAAAATTATCTTTTTATCATTTTATCATTAAGGTAAAAAAATACCCCTTTTGGAACGAGTACCAGCGGAATAATAATATTCTACAATATTAGTAATAGAGAACGCAGCTTTTTGGATAGGAGAAATTTTGTAGTTATCTGCTGCTCATCGGAGTAAAATTCGGTCTACCTGCCTGAAAGAAAATGTAAGTCAAAAAGCAAGTAATTATTGCCGAACTTCGACTGGCTTCATAAGCCCAAATAAACAGAAAAAAGTTATGGATGATTTCCTTGACTCTCTAAATAATAAATTCATGCCCAAACCACGAAAATCCGGAGATTTATCTTTACTGACACGTATTAACCTGATATCTCGATCTAAATTTAGCCCACAACTATGCAAGCATAACCACATCCAGGCACAAGATTCGTACGAACATAGTCATATTCCAGAGGCCAAGAATGGTTCGAAGTTGGTTATTAGGGCGGGAGGTAATGTGCTCTGTCAAATATGCTCCTTCAACTGCGTGTTTGAACTTCCAGATTAAAACATTCGGCTATGACGGAGCTGGTTGCGCACAAGTGTGTGACTCGATTTAGAAAGGTCAGTATTTATTCTGTTGGGACAAAAAGATCGCCGGGAATGCCTTAGGGTAACAGGAAACAGTTCGGAGCTGAGTGAAGCAAGTCGAAGTGCGGTGAAGCTGCAGATATATACACTGAGTAAGCAAGAAAAGAGCTTTTCGCGTAGAATCGGCTCTTGGGATAAGATAAGACTTAAGTTCAATAGAAAACGGCTGATATTCATACATATGTACTATGCATGTATTGAGTTGGCTTGAAGAGATTTACCGAAAAAAAAACTTTCAAATTAATTATTTAAAATTTTCATTCACCAGCAGCAGAGTCCTGGCAAAATTATTATTATTGCGCCATGAGCTGTGGCCCTGCTGATAAATAAGATAGAAAAGTCAAAGTCAAAAACCGCTTTGCTTCAAGCGCCGAAATGCTTTAGAAAAAAGTTTGATGTTGAAAGCTTCGCTTTGTTCGGAGCGGCTTCGCCCGACTAGGCACCGATACCTGTGCATACCTGCTACGTACCCTTTCAACTCACCACAACCTTTTAAAAGACAAAAGTCCTTCGTACGACAATTGCCAATTCTGCAAGCTCTTTACTGCCTTTCGAAAGACTAATTGAAAAGTCTGTAGACCAGGAGATCTTGGCGTTATACTGTTAATAAAAAAATTATAATTAAAAAAACTTAATAAGATCCTAAACATTAAATTAAATAAAAAATATAATTTTTATTTTTAGAAGTTTAAAATCTAAAAACTAAAAGAAAATAAATAAACAAAATAAAAACGAATCACATTGAAAAAAGAAAAAATGTAAAAAAAAAAATCTGGAATGAAATAAAAAAAATGTACTATTTTACACAATAAAATTTAAGGAAAATTTAACTAAAGGCCTAAAAAAATTCATACAAACAAATAAATAAAAAAACAAAACAAAAAAATAAAATGAGTTCCTAAAGATTAAATAAAATTATAAACAATATTCTTTTTAAAACCATACTATCCAAACCATCTAAGAAAATTAAATATAAAAAAATTATATAAATTATAAAAGAAATAAATATATAAACTAAGTTTCTAAGAATTAAATTAAATTAGAAAATATATATATCCTTTTTAAAAATAAAAAACCGGAAAAATTTAATTAAGAAAGAAAATATAGATTAAAAAAAGGAAAAAGAAATCCGCTGCGACAGGATACGAACACAGATCTCTCAATTGACCCGCTTGTGCTTTGCCCACTCGACCATTGCGACTATTGTGGCGACGCGGGCTAGATGATATACTAGTGCTTTCTCATACAATAGCTTTTCACCACGAATGGTGAATGAGAGAGCTTTTTTTCTAAGGCTTTTGAGCATTTTTCTTATAAAAGACTTTTTAATATCTTAACCTGAGTTGACCTGTTAGGCTAGCTAAGCGGCAGCTATTGATCCTGGTACTTAGTAGTTTTAAGGGGAGCAAGCAGAGGTGGCCGCTACAAAGGAGGCAGATGGCTGGCGACTTCCTATTTATTACAATACTGATTCGAAGTGTAAATATCTGGGATCGCTTGGGGCGCTACCGCAACTGGCCGGAGAAAGCCCAATCTCTCGGTCGTCTCGGATTACTTGCAGGTCAGGCTAATTGGGGGTTTCAAGTCGCTGTTGTATTGCTGGAAACTGCATATCTGATGAACTGGTTACCTAAGGACCTTTCAGGACATCTCTCTTAACAGGAAGGCTATAGAAGTTTCTGTAATAGCAGGTGGGCCGTGATGAACAGATGGGCTTTAATCGGCTAAACAGGCTCTGGAAAACCCCGAGGCAGGGCAAGTTGCAAAGTCCTCCGGCCTGTAGTCGATCGGTGGCAGTCTAAGGCAGTCGACTCTGACGGAAGTCCGCTACTTATAGGCACTCAAGCGTTGCGAATTAATATAAATAGTTTCGAGCCCCTAATACCATAGCTGTTTGGAGAATGAGGACGTGGACCGATCTCAGAGTTTCCTTCTTAGCTGATCTGGTTTCTAAAGGCAAATCTTTAAATATCTCGGCTCGTTTTACATTGAAACTTGCAAGGCAATCGTTCAGCCGCCTGTTGATGATTGAATTGTTATGGTAATGCTTCGGCTGGAAGAAGAAAAAAAGCAATAGGCAAAAAATGTAAAATGACACACTGTGATAAACATTTCTTTGTATATGCTACAAACCTGGCTTATATATACATATGTAGATATATATATATACATATCTTCGTACAAATAACAGAACACACGCCACAGCGCAACAGTTGCAATCGAGAAGTGGCAGTGGCAACAGGAGCAACCTCGGCAGATAACAAAAATTACTTAAATAAACGAAAGTGGTTTCTTAACTCTTTGCGATACAACAAATAAAAAGAGTCCACTATAATACTATACATACATATGTACATTTGTGGGACTTTGCTTCCTCACATTACTGCCACATATGCATACACACGCCTTTACTTAGTTGCCTTACAAACTGCTTGCGCGCCACTGCTAACGGTGTGGTGGTGGTGATGGTTGTACGGTACGTGGCATGCGTGCTGCCGCGTCACGAGTGGCACGAGTTGAAATCAAAAGCCAGCTACACCCAATCCCACAAACAATGAATGCTGAAGTTAAATCGAAAAAAAAAACGAAGCTGAAATCTCCACTACAGGACACTCGACCGTGCAGGTCCCTACGACCGCAACTGCTGTCACTTTTGTTGTTGTTGTTGCCCTAGCCTATATACAAGCTGAATCTCCTGCCCCAAAGCGATTTAGCTGAGAACAGTTTTTCTGCTTACTCGCGCAAACAGAACACAGCAGAACAGTTAACCCCACTTAAATTGTCTGCACCGATCGAGTGCTGGCGTAAGTTCGCGCTCCCCACCGA